TGGAATTAAATATATATTGTTTAGGTAGATTAATTGGCTTAGTGTGAGTTTTTTGTTTTTAATTATCTTAATAGTTGATTAAAACAGATATTTGGCTTTGTTTTTGACTAACGTAGATTGTACTTTTTTGCTAAGCCACACTCCTAAAAATCTTGTAAGTGTGTTGTCTTTTACTACTTCTACTCTTTTATCTGCTAATAGTATATTTAGGGTTCCAACCCGGTTTGAAAATCCCTATCTGTAACCCACCAGGTCAATCATCTTTCCCAACCAGGTACCCAAAACTAAAACTGGCTACCCGATTAAAATAGGTCACCTAGTTATAATCAGGTAACCTGGCTATTTGACTAAAATAGATGTTCTGATTAAAACAGATAACCAGATGACCTGATTAAAAGTGGATAACTGGATGATCCGATTAAAATAGATGACCTAGATAGCCTGATTAAAGCAGATAACTGGGTAACTAGTTATTCATTTTAATTAGGTTATCTAGTTATTAATATTTAATTGGGTAATTCAATTGAAATAGATAATCCAATCTGGTGATTACTCTTCTTTTATTTTTTTATTTCTGTTTTATTTTTGTATTCCATGAAGAACTAGCTTCAAAAGTGCAGGTTACATGATAAGATGCCACAACTACTGTATAGCTTTTTAGAATCATTCAGCATGCAGCTTTATTATTGTAAAAGTTTCTTAAATAACAAAAATTATATAACAAAGCAATTTATTAGATATGGCTTTGTTAATAGTACGGATCATATGGCCTGCACTTTTGGGGTTGGTCTGGCTCATTTAAATATAGCAATAATTAAAATTTGTCAAATTTAAAATTTTATATCTTAATGTAAAGTTCTAACATATTACATAAGAATATATTCACTTGCAATTAGCAGTTTTATAAATGTATATTTAAAAAACTAGAAGATTCAAAAATTAAACTTGTTAGCTATGAATTTCAAGTAAGAGAAATGAAATAATAATGCCCAAAGATTCTATATAGTGAAATAAAATGTTTTTATTAAAAAAATATAGATAGTTTTGGCATTTAACATAAGAAAATATAAGTTATTCTTATTAGTAGTACTATTTGGAAATGCCATTGAGTTTATTGTGAATTTGACAATAAAAGTATATATATATAACCTAAAAAAATATTGAATAGAGATATTACCATAAATTAAATTAATATTTAACAGAATGTAAAAATATAATAGTTACACATATAATTACCATTTGTGGTCCAAGAACTCTGCCAATTACTTTAATTAAGTAAACCATATTTTTACCCTTCTTTTTGTAAATTTCAATAACAAATATTATTCATAATTATTATTATTATTGTTTTTTTTTTTTTTTTTGTTTTATAAAACAATATTGCTATAAGATAAATTTGTATTTATTATTTTCTGATGATTTTTAATTCATTAACCATTTTTAGTTGGCAGAAGTTTGTTTAGAAAGAAATATGTGTATCATTTATCTAGCTTGAAAATAGAAAAGTGCTGTATGTTGTATTTGAGAAACATCATTTGCTTGACTATATCAGGATGAAGCCTGTTATACAATACAGTGATATGTAGTCTAGTATCAGAAAATAATTGCTCTGAAGGGACAGATGTTGCTAGTACCAAAAGATATTTCTGAGCTAGGCACGATAACACTGGATATTTTTCAGATCTATTTTTCCACCATGTTAATAGATCACAACCCCTTTTCTCAATAGGTTCACAAAGATAATGATCAACTTCAGTCTTATTATAAATTTCATCATTCAATTCCTTATTACTATATAAAGCTGCAATTAAGCTATTAGCTATTGCAGGTTCACGATCTGGAGTGTTAAATGGCTTATCAAGTCCAACCGAAGGTTGACGGTAATCTTCCTCAGAACAAAGTATTTGCACTGTATTAATTGTCATCACCTTTATTGTTTCATCACTAAGAAATTTCACAGGTCCAAAAATGATACAACAAGCCCAATTTTCTTAGAAACCTCCTAATATTCTTTAAGAGAAAAGAAATATGCAGCCTTAACCAGATCATATAAACCTTTATTTGTAATAGTGTTTCAATTAACTGATAACCTTTAAATTGTGAATCATTATATGCACTTTTTTTGACTTTGCTATGGTTATGTTTGTTTTTTCATCCTTGTGCTACTTGTAATGGTTGTTGAAGTTGTTCCGAACTCACTAGTGTATCAAATTCATTTTCTATATCAGATTCAGGATCATCTTCCTCGATTAATTGGCTTTGACTATAAATAAATAATAATATGATAATAAATATTATATCAGATTTTTAAGAAAGAAAATCGTCTAAAGTCAGATAGTTTTTAAGTTAATTACTAATCTATCTATTTATGAATCAAAAATTATAAAGAGAATTAAACTTACTACTGTACTAGAGTTAATACCTGAATTCAAATTTAATGATTAAATTTGCTATATGATTGGTTATGATTGAAACTTATACGTATAGTACATATCGTACTAATATAAATCCAGATTTAATATTTAATTATTAAATCTTTTAACTATCCAGATTTAATGTTAATCATTAAAATCTGGATTTAGGTATTAACTCTATACTGTACCTGATTTTAGACAATCTTTAAAAAACATTTTTATTTTTAATAAAAAATTTTTTAATATATCTATTAATAGGTCTGAATAATAAATCAGCATAGTTATCTTTAGTTTGTTCATAAGAAGGTGCAAACTTCTTAATAAGCAATCTCATTGTCAGATAAATAAGGTTAAGAGTAGGATAGTTTGAACCAGAAAATATATTGGTGGCCTTATAGAATGGCTTTAATAATAAAATAAGATTATTTAACAATTGCTATTCATTTTCAGTTAGATTTATTAATTTCAAATATTTGCCGTCAAGTCTGTCGTAGCATTCTGATTCTGAAGGCAACATTATAACAAGATATTCAATTGCTTTTTGTAGTTCTTTAAGCCAAACCCAAGCCAAGTATGAGGAGTTCCATCTTGTTGGCATGTCATTGATTGTTTGATAAATCTTTGGATATCTACATTTTTCTTGTGTATCTATAAGTTGTTCAGATTGCTTAGAGCTTTAAGAAAAAAAAAGAATTAAATTTTTTGCTTGCTTAATAAGTCGCACTGCAGGTTTAAGACCTTTTAGCACACTTAGTTGAAGTGTATAGGCTGAACAAGATAATTATATAACATTATCTATTAAACTAATCACCTTTTTAACATTGGTGCTATTGTCAGTTATAATGCAAAAAACCTGCCCAGTGAGTCCCCAATTAGTAATAACTTAATTTAGAGAATCTTCAATAGCTTTAGCTGTATGTGGTGATGGAGGTGATTGTATTGTTAATAAAGCTTTCTTTAATTCAAAATTTGAATTGATCTATGACACTGTGACTCCAATATATGCTTGATTGGTTCTTGAGCTTCATAAATCTGTTGTCAGATTAATATATCCACCATTTATATTTATCATACCAAATAATTGATCGCAACTCCAATTATAAGCCTTATTAATCATTTTTTTTACAGTTTTTTTACAAGAAATTTGAAATCCAGCTTCCATATAGTTTAAGAGTTGACAAAAAGCTTTACTTTGTAAAATATAAGAAGGTTGACAATCCTTGATTATAAATTCAACCAATAATTGCACTATCTTTTCCTGTCTCTACTTTGTAATGACATGCATAGCCTTGATGATTGAGCCATTAGTGTTAGTTCCCTCAGAATGGTCTTTATCAATTCGATGCTTAGACCAAAAATGGCCAAGTATATTTCCTGTTAAAGAATCATATGCATACTTGATAGTAATATTATTTTTACAGATTTTGCAAACAGTAAAATTGCCATTTTCTGTTGTCTCAACTTCAAAATGATCTTATACAATACTAGGATTATTGTGTTTTTTTCGCTTTTTGGATTTACACGCAGGTGATCTTTCAGATCCAAGTGGCTCCTCATATCCTAAAATTCATTATTATTCGCAAAAGGTATATTATCCTCTAACATGTGATTAGACACTAAAGAACTCATTCAGGTTAATATACCTACAGTTCATTTTTTTTTTTTTTACTGTTATTTACTGATAATTTTTTCTTACATAACATATTGATTTTAAAAGATTCACCTGTTTACAATATGTATTTCACACTTGGTGAAGAAATTCTTTGGTTCGGCAGCCGCCACTTAAGGTTTTTTTTTTTCTTTTTTTGAAAATCACTAAAACTTTTTTTTTATAATAATATATCCAGTTAATGGTGGCAAGTAAAGACATTTTAATGTTCTTATAGCAAATATTAATATTTTAAAAGATCATAATAATATGGTTGTCCAAGAAGTTATACCTTTTTACAATTATAAACCCACCACTCAAAAAAAAATAGCAGCACAAAAAAATTTTTTTTCAACCAATTTATATTTTTGGTTATATTTGAACCTTAACTTTAAACTTTATTCTTGATTCTACAATATCTGGTTTGTAATATTAATCGGTTGATTGATTATCTAGATGAAAACCAGATCACCCGCCTGTTGTCAGGTTACCTGCTTATTATCAGGTCACCTGTTGACAGGCAGGTCACCTATTAATAAATAGGCTACCCATTGATAGGTAGGTCACCCTTTGATAGATGGATGACCCATTTATTAATATTAAACCGGTTTTCTAAAAATATAATCTAGTTGGTAATATTTTCAGATCAGATAATTAGTTACATGGTTATCTGGTTTATAGTTCAGAACCCTAAGTATTTTTATATTGTCTGTTCTTTCTGTTAAGTTAAGTACTATTAGCTTTGATTTTTTTAAATTTATTCTTATATTATTTAATATATAGAATTCTTCTGCGATTCTAAGAGTTTTTTCTAGTTGAGCTTTACTATTAGCTATCCATATTGTATTGTTTGTATATGCTATAGCTGCTTGGTAGTAATTTGTCTCTTTGAATTCATTACTGCAGAGATTGAATAGCTCTTTTAAACACACTGTATAACTGAGGCTTTTATTATTTTGTATTCTATATAAAAGTGGATTATAAAAGATTCTTTATATAAGTAGGAATAGGACTTCTCCTTGCTTGATTCTGTCTGAGGCTATAATGTTTTCTATTGGGCCTACTGCTATTAGAACTTTGGTCTTTCTTTCTCTAAACAAATTTATGTTAAAACTAATTGTGATACTAGGAATTTTGATTTGTGTCAGTGCCATTTCGAGCATTTGAAGAGGTACTAAGTCGAATACTTTTTGTATATCTTGAAATAAAAGCCATAGTTCTTTTTTTTGTTCTTTTGCATCTTCTATAATGCTATTTAATATAAATATTAGCTTGAATATTAAGTCTTCAAGTAGGCCTGCATAGTTCAGACCTTTTAAGATTGCATTTCTTGTCAGAATTTTTAAGAGCCATGTTGCTAGTACTTTTGTTATATACTTGCAAAAAGTTTCTAAAAGTGCAATTGGTCTGAGGGTATTTAGTGTACAATCCTATTCAGTTGATTTTGGTATTGGATATATTTGGCTACATTTCTATCCACTAGTAGTTTTTAAACACAATGATCCAAATTTTTTAAAGGTCTCTTGTGTGTAACTATTTGCCTTTTTGATCAAAGTATAACTAATACCTATAATACCTGGAGCTGTATTGTTTTTAAGTTCTTTTAAAGTATCAGTCTATTCAGTTTTTGTGATGTCTTTCTTCAGGTTTATATACCAAACTTTGTTTATTTCCTTTTGTAGTTCATAGATTTTCTTCCACTTTGAG